GTTAGAGGTTCCGGATAGATTCTGAGGTGCGGGGTGGGGTGGAGGGTGTCTGTGGCACACACTCAAATGAAACCCGCAGTCTGCATCTACTCTTGAGGGAGAGCAGCAGCACTCGAGTAACAATAGGCTTCCTGAGTACTCCGCCAATTAATTCACTGTTTGTATCTCCGTCCACTACTTAATAAGGCCGTATCAGCAATACAATCTGCAAATGCCACTTAAACTGCTTAGGGCATCAGTCAGTTCCAAGTTAAGAGTATGTCCTCCTGGTGTTCTGAATGGCTGAATCCAAAACCTGTCCTCTGGCTTCCCTCTGTTCCAGGGAAGGGCATTTATTTTCGAAGAGGTGTAGGTTTAGTGGGAAAGTGTCCTGCAGGCAATTTCAAGAAGTAATGGGGAACTCGAAATGATCTCATTTTTCCATTTCCCAATGGGAACCTCTAAATGCTGTCATCACAGAAGGAACCCTGCCAGCGCTCACCCATGCCTGCAAAGATGGAAACAGCTCAGATACAGACGGTAAAGCGTCTAATGGATCAATAGTTCCAACCCTTTCGCCCTCCAAGCATTTTAGAAACCTCAAATGAGCCTGTGGAACGGGTGGGTACTTGTTTTGCTTTTTTTTTTTTCTCCCTTTTCTTCCTTACAGCCCAAGATAAGACAGAAGAGGTCAAAGGGCAAGCAGGCAGGCAGCTGGGAAGCCGGGACCTGTGGAAGGCACACCCTGCCTCGACTCCAAGTGTCCACTATCCGTGTGGGGTACAAATGGACCTGGTGAGGCTGTTTGACTTGCTGACCAGCAGAGTTTGCTGGTCCAACACGGCCAGTGATAAAATATCACAGAAAAGACTAGGCAATGCCCTAGGGAAGGCGATGGCTGAACCAGGCCAGAGCTGAACTCCGCCCTTCCTTCCAAGCGACCTATGACCTGGAGACAGCCCCTCCCCCTCTACTTGGGCCTGTGTGGATTATGGAATTCCAAGCACAAAGGTTTCTGGAGATCCAGCAACAAGTGGTCGGCAATTATAGCGAACAGAATCTGTAAGGGGCTTTCCCATGGAGATGCTAAGCCCCCAAAATGACATGTTTCCAAAGGAAGACCACAGTCACACCCCCAGACTCCCCACAGGAGGCACCCTCTCTGGGCGGCTCCCTCTGTCAATCCTAGGACATCTCCACCTTCCGATCCCACAGGCCCAAAACGAGGAAGCTGTAAAACCCTGGCCAAACAGCCATTTGCCAAGAGAAAAGCCAACCTGGGGCCCATCTGTCCTCCACAGGCTCTGTCCACCCTGCCCTTGTGTAGCTGCTGGTCTCTACCTTCCCAGAGCCCCAGTACCTGGCTGCCTGGCTGGCTGGCTTTTCATTATGTGACTTCAGAGAAGCATTTTACCCCGTATCATTTTGAGAGAGGAGTCCAAGAAGACCCGCTACCCACACTGTCACCCCATGGTGAGTGAGGGCAGATATCCCCGTGGAATTCAAGATGTCCCTTTGGCAGCTCTACTTTAGACAGGAGCTCAGAGAGAGGTACCGCTGGCTAGCGGAGGTGGGGGCAGTCGGGAGGAAGGGAACAAGGCCCCCATTCTGCTCAGCACAGGTGTCTGTAACAGGACACCCCTGTCCAAAGCAGCGCATGGAATGGCGCATTAAGGTTCGGTTGGGTATTTTCAGCCTAGCCATGTTACATAACCCTGAACCCAGGGCAAAGGTCTCCCGGCAGCAGGGCCAAGTCGGCTCCTAGAATCCGGATGCTTGAGCAACAAGGACGAGGAAATATTTGCTTCTAACATCCAACTTTAAAAAGAAAAACAAAAAGCTAATTATTAAAAGAAGACTGCTATGGGGTGGGAGATACTCTTAAATTTGGCTAGCAAAGTCTCTGGGACTTAGCAACTACAGTAACACGGTCAAATTCTGGTCTAATGATTCAAAACAAACAATACTAATTTGTTTCCCTAAGAGCCAATTCTGCCCAGAACTTGGATAGAAAGAAAGATTCTGGGACCTCCTTGACAGCCAGCAGTCACCTCCAGACCAGTCCCCCAGGTAACCCAACCTCAGCCCCTGGAAACTCAGTTCCCTTTCCTTCTGGGACTAAGTTCCAGCAGGCAGCTTTCAGGTGATTTACGTGGGTTCCAGGGAAGACAGCGGTAAGTGATTCTGCACACCGCCATTCATTAGGGACCACCACCGCAGCTGGGTGGAATTAAGGGGGAAAAGCAGGTTTCCTCTCATCAAGGGACTGGCAAGTTTTTTAGCAGCTGCTGCCTGCTCTCCTTGGAGCCTGACCCCAATGGAAGCAAAGTGAGGGTTTCTTCTTCACCCTGAAGAGGATAAACACACATCCTGCCGGCCCAGGACTCAGGCCAGAGGAGAATCTTAGCGGAAAGCAGAGAGGCCACCCCAGCTCTTCTGGGTCTTGAGGTTCTTCGCTTTTAGATGGGGGGCAGCAGGCACGGGAATTATGGGAATCATTCCACTTTCTGTTATCTTTCTTTTTTCTCCAAAGAGGAAACTGACTCCCTTCCTGCTGTACATTACGAAATCCCAAACGCTCTCAAAAAAGCACGTTCCTCACCCCAGTTCAAACATCCCTTAAAAAAAATAAAAATAAAAATGGTACCAAGATGACAATCCAAATGGCTTCTCCCTCAGAGCAAACAGAAAGGGGACCTAGAATATGATAAGCTGGTTGTGAGTTTAAAGATGAGAAGGACAAGGTCACCAGGACAGGTGGCCAGCTGACACTAAATGCCGACCTCCTGGCTGCCGCCACATATCCATATATCATCTGCTGCTTAACCTATAACGCCCAACTTAATCTTGTCACTTTTGGAAGGGTCACTGCTGCCCAACCCATAAAGAAGTCTCGTGAAGAACACTCAATGAAAATATCTAGCAGTCCCCTTACACTCAAACCATCTTAGAAAGAAATCAGACAACCTGCATAGGATTACCGATCCCTCTACTCCCCAGAGCCTAAATTTCTTCAGAGCCCAAAGCACAATGTAATCTCCCACTGTACCTCGATTCTAAAAATACTATGAGGAAAAAAAAGAATGTTTACCCAAAGGGTAGGGAACAAATCTATCAAACACAAAGAGAAAGAAACTAGAGTCAACTCTGAGGACTATAACAAGAGGTTTTCCACCTTAAGCTCCTACAAATGTCTAGGCACAGTCCACAGCAGGCAGCGAGAGGGCAGGTGGAGGGTGACTGTCGCCCTTGGGGAAGGAATGCCTTCTGAAGGGTTTTAGGTCCAAACCACCTCCTGGAAAGAACTGAACCCTGGTTCCAGACAACAAAAAGACAGAGAAAACCCCAGGTGTGATTACTCAGGGACTGAAGTCAGTAATCAGTGTAGATCCCTGGGGTCCTCGTTTCTATCCAGGGACTGGAAACATCATTATCTCCTCCAAAAACACACAAGCATCTTTACCAAGCCCCGTCTCAAATACCTCCTCCTCCTCCTCACAACAGTGTGTACCTCAAACCAAATCTTGTTGTGACCGTTAATAGGGTGGGTGAAATGGAAGACATCAATAAATACCAGCGTGCAAGAGGGGCGCCAGCCCCCGCTCAAAAGAACACTTGGATAATTCAGTGTGGCTTGAGGGCAAAGGGATGAAAAGGCAGCCTTTGAAAAGGCTGATCCACCTCATTCCAAGCGACTGGATTAGAGGCATTCCTGGGCGAGCGAGCGGGCTCCGGCTACAGATTAGGCTACCAGGGTTTCTGACAAAAGGCACGAGCTTGCAAAACGGACATGAGCAGGACGAGGCACCTTGGCAAAGTTCACCCTGGGTGAGGTGGCAGTTGGTTCTAAAAGGAGGCGGCAGGCATGACAGCTGAGCATTCCTCCCCCAAAGTCCGAGCCGGAGGCCCAAGGCCTCTTCAAACCTTACACTTCGCCAGACAAAAGCTTCCCCAGGCTTCTGGCAGCGGCTGAAGAGGGGCTGTCCACACCCACTCGCCAGCACAGCCTTCCAAACCTGCACACTCTTTTGGAAGCCGAGCTTTTAATTAAACACCACCTCCCCGGATCTGTTGAGGCAGACCGGGGCTGGCCTCGAGCCAAAGAGAAGCTCCCTAAATACACTTGGAAAAAAAAATTCCCCTGCCGCCCCCAATTCCCACCTCCAGCCAGCTCCGGGAGCAGGCTCTATTTTATTAGCGTGAGTAACCCGAGTCCTCCGTGCACCAGAGAACCCACGTTCGAGGATCAGGTTATCTCCGGTCCCACCCTTTGCAGGAAAAAGCAAGGGTGTTGCTCCCCGCCCCCAACACACACAAGCGCGCGCGCGCACACACACACACACAAGCCTGCCGAGAGCGGGGTGTGGGTGTGTGTTTCAGGGAGCCGGGGGTAGTTGTCTGGGAACCCTCAACCTTGCCTTCCCGCTGTGAGCCTCTCAGCTTCGGGGATCCCTCCAACGCCACCCCCTGGGGGACTCGTGCACCGCGCGGCCCGGGGGAGGGTGCGGGGACCGCGCGGCACACCCTCGGCAGCTCGACCACATACTAATTAATAACTAATTTGTTCAGATTCCCCCACTCCAGGCAGACCTGAAAGCCACGCTGGTAACGAGCCTGCCACCCAACCTCCCAGGTCGGGGGGACTACGGGAGCCACCACCACCAAGGCGCCGAGCACCCCACCCCGGGGCCAAGGAGTCAGGTGTCCGCCCGGGCGTCCAACCGCCGCGGGTCGCAGACACCCGGCCCGGGGGACAGACAATGGGACACTTGGAACTAGGGTCCCCAGCCCCCAAAGGAACAAGATGGTGTCGCCCCCCGGGGATAATGAAGGCAGGGGTGGGCAAGGGGCACCAGACCCCCTCCCCCCGGCCCCCGGGAAGTCGCCTGCCCGGTGACCCAGCGCCGCCGGAGCAGCGCGGCGGGGGAGCAGGTGACACCCGGAGCTCCCGCAGGTGGCCGCGGTGCTGGGAGGGGAAGGCCCGCGGGGAGGTCGGCGCGGCCGCGCCCCCGGCGTCCTACCTTCATGTCGCTGATGATGGTCTGGAAGAGGCCTCCGAGCGCGCTGCACTCCTTCTCGATCACAGCCTCCATTTTCCCGGCGCGGCGGGGATGGGACAGGCTCTCGGGGCCGCGGCACTGCGCACGGGAGGCCGGGCTCGCACAGCCCGGGCGCGGGGTTCACCCTGGGAGCCACCCGCCTCCGGCTCGCCGCCGGCAGTGCAGAGAGCACGCGGTGCTCGCGGTCCACCGCGCTCCGCCTGCCCCGCGAGCCACAAGCCCGGACGCCCAGCCGCCTACGTGCAGCGCTCGGCTCCCGGCCTCGAAGATGCCCGGCGGAGACTGACAATCAAGCCACCACGGGTGCCCACGACGGAAACGGCAAAGCCCATCTTGGTGCAAAGAACACAGCCCGCTGACCCGGGGCCAGCGCCATTTAGAAAAAGAAAATTTTTTGTTTTCCAAATGTAATTTGTTTCCGAAATTCAAAAATAAAGACGAGAGAGAGAGAGAGCGAAAGGGGCCAGCGGCGGACGAGGTCAGCTCGCGGCGCCCGGATCTGTTGCTCGCAGACGCGGCCGCCGCCTCCTTTTCACTCCTGCGCGCCCGGCCCCGCGCTCGCTCTTGGCGGAGCTCCCGGGGACGTTCGCTCGCGGGGCGCACGCGCGCGCGCGGCCGCAGCGCGGAAGCGCGCGGCCCGGGAGTGCGCCGCCCGAGGGCGGGGCTGGGAGCGCGCGCCGGCGGGGAGCCGCGTGCTGCCCCTGCCGCAGGGAAGGGCTGGCGGGAGGGTGGGCGAGCCCGGTGCGCGTCTCCCGGACGCCCCGAGCGCCCGGGCTGGGATCTCAGCGTGGGGAGGGCGAGGCAGCGCCCAGCCGCCCACAATGGCTGCTGGCTTGCGGTGGAGCCGGCCCCGCCCCTCGGGGGACCTGCAAGGTCGGCTCGCTGAGTCCCGAGCCCCGCACCTGGTGCTCCCAGCAGGGCGGGAAGTCTGCTGCCGCTGCTGCTTCTGCAGTCTTGGGAGGAGAGGCCTCTTCGGTGATGTCAGGACTGCAACGCCGACTCACGGTTGCAGAGAGCCAGCGACTAGACCAAGGGGAGTTCATCCGGGGAGTGTCCTGCAGTGGAATGCTCGGTTCGATAAAGTTGCAGGATGCTGGATTGATCTTCTGTGGCAGAGGAAATGCGGGGTGCGTCAGGGCTCCTACCGCCTCGTCACCCGTCTGCACAGATCGCTGGCTGCGTGCGGCTTGAATGTTGAGGGATTTGAAGCCGGTGTTGCCGGAACTGTAAAAAGCCCCCTTGAGAGGTTAAATGCAGGGCCCCGAAGACTGAGGCGGATTGGGGCCTGGTGATTGTGTCCCCTAGCTCCACTTCCAGAGGCACTCTTTCTGAGGTCCCCAGAGCCTGGTAGGGGGTCAAATGGGCAACTTGCAAGCGAACTTCAGGCACCTAACTGAACTTTGACCCTTAAGCGTTTGAAGAACGAGTAAATGGAGCCCGTGTCGAGCTTGACTGAAAGAATCTTGAGTCAAATGCTGTGATCCCATTGTTTGGGCTTAGTAAATCCTAATTTAAGGCTGCCCGATAGCGAACTCTTGCAACCAAAATCGCTGACGTTTTCATTTTCCTTCAGGCCACTCTGCTCAACTCAGCTGCCCTACCCCATCTCCCCGACACCAGGAGAGGCTGCAACATTCACTTGCAAATGTCTCATCCTCACCTGGCCCGTTTTAGTGCTTGACACGTGGTTGGGTCTCCTGAATTGCCATTATTATGATGTTAATGTCACTGGTATTATAATGATCCAGATGACTGGAGAGCCTCTCCGCCTGGTTTAAGCTCCAGTTTACAACCTGTGACCCCTGTGGCCTTGAGTAAGGTGCCTTAGCCCTCGGGGCTCAGTTTCCTCTTCCGTAACCAGACCTGAAGACGGCACTTAGGTGATGAGCCGTTCTGAGCCTTGTAGGGGCTAATGAATGAAAAACGCTTAAAGTAGTATCAGATGTTTGGGAAGCGAACACTCAGGAAATCCTCAACAAAGGGAGAAGCCCTGCCAAGGCTCTCGTGGGATCTGGCTCTAAGCACCTGCTGCAGGCCTGCAGTGTTGGCTTTGTCCCACTGACTACAGAAGCCTGCTTGGTGTTGTCTGCACCTTACACAGGGCGTGTCACTGAACGCCCTCGTTTTACTGATGGAAGGAATCTAACCCGGTTTTCTGACAAATCCAAGAGACTAAAGGTCCCTGTCTTGTTTGTTTTCGAGACAGGGTTTCTCTGTATTGTTTTGGAGGCTGTAGGCCAGGCTGGCCTCGAACTCACAGACATCCGCCTGCCTCTGCCTCCCGAGTGCTGGGATTAAAGGCGTGTGCCACCAACGACCAGCTAGAGGTCCCTGTCTTAAACCAAACAAAACCCCTCAACTGCCCCCCACCCACCTTGGCTCAACCTTGAAGTGTCTGCCAAAGCTGCTCTTGTATGCAGTCTCCTTTTTCCCTAGACTTCAGCCAGGTTGAGTACCAACTTAGCAACTTAGCTGTCCTCTCTTGAGACCAGGGCACCAGGAAGCTCTTTGCAAAGGTCCCTGTGGATGCTTTCCCAGATGGGATTACACATGCAAACCTCCACAGCACTAGTCATCAGTTTTATGGAATGCTGGGGTTGGGGGAGGGGGGGCGGGTTTTGCAAACCTGTTGCTGGGCAAACAGGGTACCAACTGAGAGTTAAGCCCCCAGCCCCACATTTCATGTTTGTTTGAGAGAGGATTTCACTCTAAACTTGAGAGTCTAAAATGGAACTCTTGGCAGTTCAACTGCACCTGCCTCCCAAATACTGGGATTACCTAGCCTTGGGCAGCTTTAGATTGGAATCCAGCTGCCCTGGGTTCGAGAGGTGTTGGGAAATGACAGCTTCAGGCTACACTGTGAGCATCTGTCTAACTCCCCCGGCTCCCTCAAGCGCTGAGTGGACAGACACGTGGAGTGTCTGCTTCTTGGTTGTTCTTTGGTGATGGTGGTGGTGTGTGTGTTTGTGCATCCACGGGTGATTTTGGAGAACGGGAAAGGACAACGGGCAACCTCAAGTATACTATACTTTTTTTTAAGACATACCGTCTCACGGGCCTCGAATTCTCTGAGTATGTTAGGCTGGCTGGCCAGGCCAGTGAGCCACAGAAACCTGCCTGTGTCTCCATCCTGGGTGCTAAGATTGCAAATGCATGGGGTAACACTTCAGCACTTTTCTGGTGTGTTCTCGGGGTCTGCCTGCGAGGTGAACGCTTTACTGACAGCTGTCCCTCCTGCACAACCCTTTGTTATCTTTTTCCAACTTTTCGTTCTCGGCGCTAGGAATTGAACCCAGGCCCTTGTACAGTGTAGCAGTTTGCAATGACCCCCGTAGAGAAGGAACTAGTCTGAGGAATTCCAGCTGCTCAGGAGTGAATATGGCTCAGAATGTGATTCCCTTCTAACTCTTGATCTCTAGCCATTAGGCTGTTTGATCTGTGGGGTCAGCTTGTTTCCACGAAGTTCTCTGCTCACCCGATATTCCAAGAACTGGCATGGGCATCCATGCCTAATACTTAAACTGCTACACCGTAGCCTCGATCCTCAGCACTGGCCCTCCAGCAGGGTCTGCCCAGCTGGTCCTCAAACCCTGTATATTGACAGCTACTGAGGCTGTCTGAAGCCACCCAAGAACAGACTCTCATGTATGAGTCTGATTTAATTGGTCTGGGCTGTGACCTGTTCTTAGGACTTTTCAAAACCTCCCAGGCTATTCTTTCCCCACTCCCACCCCTCAAGACAGGGTTTCTCTGTGTGTTCTGGCTGTCCTGGAACTCGCTCTATAGACCAGGCTGGCCTCGAACTCACAGAGATCCGCCTGCCTCTGCTTCCTGAGTGCTGGGATTAAAGGCGTGCACCACCATCACCCAGCCCAGGCTATTCTAATATGAGGCACACACCTTTAATCCCAGCACTCAGGAGGCAGAAGCAGGCAGATCTCTGAGTTCAAGGCCAGCCTGGTCTACAGAGCAAGGGGAGTTCCAGGACTGACTTCAAAGCTACATATAAACCCTGTCTCGGGGAAGAAAAAAAAAAAACAAGAACCCATACCCATGCCTTCCTCAAAGCAGTTCAGGAACTAGGCTCTGATTTTTTTTTTAACTTACCACAAACATTTCATTCTGACCTCATAATGATATACAAGAGGGGATGGATTTTGTCATTGTTTATTTCACAAAAATAGGATAGCATTAAACACATTTTTCTGGGTTTTGCTACTAACATTCAGTTTGTGCAGAAATCCTTCTAGGTCAACTGATATTCTAATCTATTCTTCCTGCACCCCTTTTTTTTTTTTTTTGGTTTTTAGAGACAGGGTTTCTCTGTATTGTTTTAGAGGCTATGGAACTCACTCTGTAGACCAGGCTGGCCTCGAACTCAGAGATCCGCCTGCCTCTGCCTCCCTAGTGCTGGGATTAAAGGCGTGTGCTACCAACGCCCGGCCTTTTAATTTTTTACTTTGACATAATCTCAGACCCACAGAAATGCTGCTGCGAAAGTGGGGTAAAGGGAGCCCGTTTAGATGATATAAAGATTCTCCGTTTACACTTGACTAGATCCGCCTGAGGCTACTGTGCTGTGGTCCTCACTCCTAGCCTGGGGAGACTTTAGAAGCCCTAGAATGGTGTCAAATTGATGCTAAGCTGCTGCCTGCTGCTGTCCTTGGAGGCCTCCAGGATGGCATTGAGACTCCAGGCAGAGTGCAAACCCCTGACCACTGAGAAGGGCTTGTGCATTAGAGGCAGTTGTGTGACCTGCTTAAGACAGTTGTGCAAAAGTGACAAAGATTTGGCTCTGTCACCTCACAGCTCACTCACGTGTGCAGGTTCTTACACTACCCCCCTCTCGCACACACACGTGTTGTGTGTGTGTAGGTGTCAGTTTGTGCACGTTCCTGTGGAGACCTGCAGATAACCGCAGGTGTGGCTCCCTAGGTGGATCCGTCTTCAGCTGTCTCGTTTGTTTTGTTTTCTGAGTATGAGGGATTGCCTGCATGTGTGTCCATGTGACTCAGCTTTTCCAGGAGAGACACTGAACACACATGTCTACGCTCATCCCAAATAAGGATCCCATGACAAACCAAAATCCAGTTTGGTAAAGCAGTGCGTTTTTTTGTTTGTTTTTTGAGACAGGGTTTCTCTGTGGCTTTGGAAGCTGTCCTGGAACTAGCTCTTGCAGACCAGGCTGGCCTCGAACTCACAGAGATCCGCCTGCCTCTGCCTCCCAAGTGCTGGGATTAAAGGCGTGCGCCACCACCGCCCGGCAAGCAGTGTGTTTTAATGGGGCTACTTATAGCACCACTGCTGAGGGGTTACTTACAGGAGCAGAAATGACTCAAAAGACAGCTGCTTCACCAGCGTCCACCCCAGCACGGGTGACAGCTCACGAAGCTGGGCACACTGCACAGCCGGCAGTCAGCTCTACAGCTGGAGAGTGTCCTTCCCACATGCCTCAGTCGGTCTGAGCCTCTTCAGGCAGCGCAACTGGTTTCGGCTTCTTCTGGGCAACTGGTCATCTCTCAGAACCTTCTTTACAGCTGAGATCCTTCTTTACAGCTTAGCTCTGTGACCT